CATTAGAAGCTCTGCCATTGTTGAAGGCATTGAGGAATCTGGTAAGGAAATATCTCTGAAATGATGACCCCACAGGTCACAGGTTGTCTAGTACCTTTTATTGTTTTATGGTTTTACAAATGTTTTAGTAACTTTAGAATTTGAACAGAGAACGTGGGTTAATGTGTGTGATGGAATGTGAGTTTGACTCAGAAAAGGGGCAGGACAATGTCAAGCCATTACAAAAAAGGATATCTGAGTCCTGAAAGAAACTCAGAGCAACTCCACCTTTTGTATTAGGTATAAGCTGAAGTACAGAGGAGTTTTGACAGGCTTTCAAGATTCTTTTACAATACCCTGACTGCATTATAGTACATTTCAAGACACCTAGCGACTCCTCTTTCTTTATCTTGCCTACCTCAAAGGGCTGACAACAGATAGACTAGAACCATGGAACATAGAAGCATGTATGGAGTGCTGAGAGATGGGTTGAAGGCCATGCATATATACATAGTTTTCACTCTGGCCCTATTTCCTTTTGGTAGGGAGATTCCATGCACACAACTGAGAAGCCAAATGCATGCCTTGGACTGAGAAAAATTATGGCTCCCTGTTCTGAGGAAGCTTTGTGGCTCCAGGGCCTTGCAAAACATGGCCATTGCAGAAAGAGCCCGTGATCACATGTCCCTGATCACTACTGCCTATTTTGTGATCCACGGGGATTCCTGTGGTCAGTCAAGCTGAGATTCCAACCAGAAAAAAACAAAACTCAGCATTCAAATCTGGGGACTTTTAGATGGCATTGCAGCCCTCTAAATGTTCCTGTAGCCGACAAAAATAGTTTCATTTCTTCATTTATTTAAAACATTTACATTCCACCTCTCATCAGAGAATCTTTTGCTCAGATAATTTAATCCTTCCAGACTCTTTTGGGATGCTTTTTATGTTTTGGATGTTTTTATTATATCTCTTTATTAAATACAAAGATCTTGAAAAATATTCCAATTTCAATAAATGAAAAAGAATAAAAGATGGTGGCCTAATTATGAAAGGGTTCGCTGATTTTTTTTCTGGCTGAAATTATTCAGACAGAAACAAGGAGGTTAGTTCTTATATCTAAACTGCACCCAGCCTGTATATTTGATGCTGGATACTTAGCAAAGGGAGGTCTGCTAGGAACTGATAGTTTGCATAAAATATTGTGCCTTCTGAGCGTGGTGGGGACCCCATATACTCTCCTCATGTTTCACATCTGAAAACAGGGATCTATCTATAGAGAATAGGATGCTCTCTTCAGGAGAATCACAGATGAACAAATGTCTCCAATTCTCCCCTTGCATCTTACCACACACAGCTGAAGATGTGCTTGGCCTGCAGTATCCGCTGATTTTCCAATTGCCCTGTGTCATCCACTGGCTTAAAAGCTGAGAGAGCATCTGTTATTTTACTTAAAGATCTACTTGAAAAACATCATGCTCCTACAGTCGGTTATCAGCAGTTCCAAATATATTTCAGCAGCTGCAGACTGTGGAATATCAGCAGGATGCACAGGACTTCTGGTATTCATCCATTAAGGACAACAAGTGTCCACTTTGAGCACTAAGGTCCAGAAAGTCTGGGGAGGGAAATGAGGTTTGTAGCAGACAACTCAGACAAAAGACTCAGACGAAAAAAAGTATTCCCAACACATCACTGTCAACAGGGCTAACCGATACTGTCACCTTCTAGAAACTCCCTCTCCTGCCCCCAAATGTTCCACATGGCCCAAAGTGAGGTGATGGAAAAGCAGGAGAACAATAAGGTTGCAGAAGGGTGGAGAAATCAACAGTATGGAAAAAGATGATGGCAAGGATGCGTTGGTTTAGCTTGGACGTAAGAAGAGAATAAAGCCATGGTAGAAAAG